AGGAATCCTTTTGTATCACCAGTAGGGCTTTCTTTGAACCAGGAAAACACAACTGAACAACTGAATGAAGAAGCATATCCTCACAAGTGGCATCTTTAGCAGCTTATCCAGAAGTTCTTACTTCCGGTTCTGAATGGAAAGGTGGGGAGAATACAAGAACATCATTAAAATTAACATTATTAATCCTGCAAACTATTATAGATTCATATTAACAACAAGGATCGTGATGTATCTCAATTTACTTCATACGATAAAATGTCTGTCCAGTGTGGAATATTGCGATATTGTATTAGGACCATAATGTTATAAATTGGTATTATATATTGCAATGATACCTGAGATTGTAATGATACTTGCCGACAAAAGATTTCATGTAGCAGATTAAAAAAAAACTTTTCCCAGACATCAGTGTCTGTGATGCTCCCAGTCAAATACTGAATTGTGTGGAGATAATATGGAGATATTTCAAGGAGACTGATCCGAGCTATTAGTTAAAGCCTTTACCATTGTCATTGACAGAACAGCAGCCTCCCTCCTTCCCTTATCAAAATAGCCACCTTTTACTCCATATAATAATCATGCATGTATGTAACCGTGCCAGAAAGAAGCATTTGGGGTACAGGTAACAATTTGTCATCTTTTAGACTACTTTGTTCAAAATAAATTTCAACTCCATGTGCTCCAGGGGATTTGAGATAGCTGGGCAAAGTCCATTGTGGGATAAAATAAAATCTTCTATGCACATTTGAATATCTCCAACCTAGAATTATGGAGAATCTTCCTGACAATTGTAAAGGTTTGTCCAGGGGTGGGTTTCTACCAGTTGGCACCTATTCGCTTGAACCGGTTGTTAACATTCTAAGCAGTTCGGAGAACCAGTTGTTAGAAGAAATTACTGGCCTAATCCTGTAAGGAAGGCAGGAAGGAAACATTCTGGTGTTGCTTACAGAAACTGCCTCTCCGTTAACTTTATTACATTCTTGGCAGGACTAGACTTCCTGTCTCAGGAACTTCTCTTGAGTTTTTTTTCCTCCTCCTTTGCTGGTACTTTGCTTGTGTGGAGTGACCATTCAAAGTTGCAATGGCACTGAAAAAAGTGACTTATGGCCATTTTTCACACTTACGACTGTTGCAGCATCCTCACAGTCATGAGAGGCCGGGTGAGGAGATGCGTGCTTCGATGTGAGTGATGTTGAGTTGGCCACGCCCAGCCAATAACATGACCAAACCACACCCACCAACTAAGCCACGCCCACAGAACCGGTTGTTACAAATTTGAATCCCACCCCTGGGTTTGTCTCTGGAAGTTGTGGGTGCTCCACCACTGGAGGTTTTTAAGAAGAGATGGACACCCATTTGTCCATAATGGTATAGGGTCTTCTGCTCAAGCAGTGGAACTAGATCTCCAAGACCACTTCCAAGTCTGATATTCTGTATTTTCCTAGTCTGTTTTGTTTCCAACTATACTTATTAAAAATCATGGGCTTGTTTACATTATCTACTTCCTCTTGTTGCTGTATTGTGCCTGAGCTAATGTAATGCCTGCCCCTTTTCCCTTCCGCAGTCTTCTCTTGTAAGAGAAAGATGTAAATCTTTGTGTTGCCATGAAAAAGTTCTTGTTTCTTTTTCAAACTCATTCCCCATCTTTGGACAGTATGTGAAGTCGAGCTTTTCTGGTGAACGACACTCCTGGTCTACAGCCAAAATTAGCAGGGATGTCTGACTTCTTGAAATAAAAAGACTCAACAATGGGGATTCATGAATAATCTAGCCTTGGTCAGCTTTTGCAGAGAAACGCCACCAAAAGAAAGAAAGCAATGAGTGGGAGCGGCAGACACCTATAGATGGACCTAAAAGTGCATATTGTATATTAAACATTTAAATATACCATAATTTTGGTTCATGGCACAGTAAAATAATCTTGTTTTGTTTGCTTGCTCTGAACAGTGAATATAGAATATTTTAAGAAACCCATATTGTGCAAATATACTGTTTCGATCTCTAGTATACTGTTCAATCTCTATATGCTGTTTCGATCTCTAATTATACACATTATAAATTGTTATTTGTGGGGTGATCTGAACTGAAATATGACCTGTACCTGACCATATTTGACTGACCAGTCTGGGACTCAGAGCAGTTTGGTGACAATCTTGATCCAAACACTGGCAGTCTTTTTAAATCTCTGACAAGCTGGGGGTAGAATAGCAGCTGAAAGAGATCTGTAGTATACCAGTGGTTTTAACCCCAGGGAAAACTAGTGATCCTATTCAGAGCTTCAGGAGTGCTGCTTACAATGTGTGCCTGAAAAAAATTGCATTTAACCCACGTGGGTCTATATGGAGAATGTGTTGATTTTAAATCTGATTCCTTTTAAATTGGATTCCTTTTAAATTGGATTCCTTTTTTAACAAAATCTTGTGTGAAAAGCATAAAGGCCTACTCCAGTTTATATGTAAGCTACGGTATGTGCAAATACAACTCACCAGACCAGATTCATTTATAAATGCATCTCAGCTTTATTTAAATAGCACAATCTCTCTCTCTCTCTCCCTCCCTCCTCCCTCTCCCTCCCTCCCTCTCTCCTCCCTCTCCCTCTGTAAAACTTCCGGGGTGAATAAATCCAGGACCTAATTTAAGAGAGATAAGGCTAATAGGTTCATGTATTCTTCACTTTTGTGCCATTGGAAAAGCCTGATTGCCAGCTATTGTTAAGTACTTTCTCTTAGGGGGAACAACATTAATGCCAGAAGACCTAACAAAGAAGCTATCTCAGGCATTTCAGGGTCAACCAAAAATACACTGCAATGAGTTCAATTTTTTTTTGAGAAAGGACGATGATGTTTACTGGAACAATCAGTTTCCTCCGCTTGCTGCCTCAACAGAGTGCTCTAGTAGTAAACCCTTTTTAATGTGATTTGTCAAGGAGTTAGAAAAAAAAGAGCTCTTTAAGGGTTAGAACAAAAACACCAAGGAAGGCAGTTAGCTGCCCAACAATCTCAGAAGGATTTCTATCCAAGCCTTAGAATTGGGCCTTATCTTCAGCGCACCCTTCCAAGCTTTGCAAGTCAATCGGACGGAGGAGAAAATTTCCCGGGCTTTTCAGAACCTTTACATCTAGCAGAATATCAATCTGGCTGTCTTTCCATTGGGGGAAATGGAAGATAGCTTTGAGTGGCATCTATTATCAAATCCGAAGCAAATTGGGAATGTGAGCATTATATGTCGCATGCACACGTACACCCCTTCCCCTCCCGACTTTTACACAAGGAATTAGAATGAGCTGGAAGGGGCCTTAGAGGTCTTCTAGTCCAGCCCCTTGCTGAAGCAGGAGAACCATCTTTGGATTCTTTTAACCCTCTCGTCATACAGAAGTCCTGGAAACCCGACCGTTTTGCTTATAAGGAGCTTCCGCTTGGCTTAATTATAAACGCCACCCTAGATGGTCTTTGGAGTTTTGTTTGCTTTGGGGAAAAGGAGGAAGAGAGGGCACAATGTTTTTAGGCTGCTGCCTAAAAAAAAAAAAGAGAGAGAGAGAGAGAGAGATTGTCATTCTTTAGTTTTCTAAATTTCACAAAACAGGTTAGCTATATAGATGTTGAGACTTTGGAAAAAGTTCAGAGAAGAGCAACTAAGATGATCAAAGGCCTGGAGACTAAAGCATATAAAGAACGGATGCAGGATTTGGGTTTGGCTAGTCTAAAGAAAAGAAGAATTAGGGATGTCATGATAAGAATATTCTAGTACTTGAGGGGCTGCCACAAAGAAGAGGGGGTCAAATTATTCTCTAAAGCACCTGAGGGCAGGACAAGAAACAATGGATGGAAACTAATCAAGGGGAGAAGCAACCTGGAGTTGAGGAGACACTAGCTAACAGAAAGGACAATTAACCAGTGGAACAGCTTTGCCTTCAAAAGTTCTGGGTGCTTCATCATTGGAGGTTTTTAAGAAGAGACTGGACAGTCACTTGTCTGAAATGGTATAGGGTCTCTCTTGCTTGAACAGGGGCAGGGGTGGGATTCTACCAGTTAGTACCTATTTGCTAGAACCGGTTAACATGCTAAGCAGTTTGGAGAACCGGTTGTTAAAAGAAATTACTGGCCTAATCCTGTAAGGAAGGCAGGAAGGAAACATTCTGGTGTTGCTTACAGAAACTGCCTCTCCGTTAACCCTTATTACATTCTTGGCAGGACTAGACTTTTCCTGTCTCAGAAACTTCTCTGGAGGTTTTTTTCCTTCCTTTGCTGGTACTTTGTTTGTGTGGAGTGACCATTCAAAATTACAATGGCACTGAAAAAAGTGACTTATGACCCTTTTTCACACTTAAGAACTGTTGCAGCATCCCCACAGTCATGAGAGGCCAGGCGAGGGGATACTAGTCTAGATGTGAGTGACATTGAGTTGGCCACTGCCCAGCCAGTCACATGACCACCAAGCCACGCCCACCACCTAAGCCACGCCCACAGAACAGGTTGTTCAAAAATTTGAATCCCACCCCTGAGCTTGGGGGGGGGGGGGGCTGGACTAGAAGATCTCTAAGGTCCCTTCCAGCCCATGGGTCCTACTGTTATCTATTCTGTATCATCTCGGTGAAACCTCTCTCTCTCATCCTTCTTCTTCTTCTTCTACCTGTCGCATTTCTGCCCGCCGAGAGCCGAACCTGCGAGGAGAAAATTCTTTGCCCTCGAGATGGAAGGAAGGGCGGGGGGTCCAGCGGCAGCGGCGGCTACGATTCCTAATACCCGCCATGAAAGTCAGCTCGTAGCGAAGCCAAGCCGGGCTTTTTACCGTCGCCCGCTTATATCCCTTCTCCTCCGTGCCCCGCTTTCCGTTCGGCCGCACAAGACGAGGGCAAGGAGAGAGGCTCCCTTGGAGATCCGGAAGTCGCCTGGGAAAGCCGTTGCGACCGTAGCCTTTTGGGGCGGGGGGCGGGGGGGAGGGTTGCCACTCTGCTCCGAGTGCGCAAGCGCGGCCAGAAAGGGTAGGGCGGGCGGGCGGGCTGGCGGCCGGGCGCGCGGAGCTTGTGGTGCCGCGCTCCTCATGGCTGCTCAGCCTTCGCCGTCGGTGCCGCTCACTCGGCGGCCCCTCTTGCTCGGCCAAGCGGAGGGCTCGCAAGACGCGGTGACCATGGCGGCCATCGTGCCCAAGGAAGAGGGGCTCATCAGCGTCTCGGAGGACAGGTGAGGAGGAGGAAGGTCTCGGGGGGCGGACGAGGCGTCGGCGGCGCCTTGCATGGTCCCAGCAAGGGAAGGGAAGGCTCTGGCCGCGCCCTTGCCCCGGGACCGATCGGCTCGATCAGCTGCTGCCCGCAAGGTTGGCCTTTCGTCGGGAGAAAAAGGGAGTCCGCCGCGGCTGCCTTGGAGCGCCGGCCTCGGGGCAGGGGACCCGAGCCACAACTCCGCATCCCGGCAGCGCGGGCGAGGGCTCCGGAGCTCTCATCGGAGGGGGGACCCAAGGCAGCCTGTGCCCGGGGCATCGCCGGGGCTCGCTGAGCAGGCGAAGCCGGGAAAGACTCCGCTCTGAAAGGAAGCTTGGGAAGGAGGGGTGGGTTGCCTTGGCGGCAGAGGGCGGTTGTCAAAGGGCTGGGGAGATTCCCAAAGGAGCGGATCCCTCCCTTCCCTTGATCTTCTGATCCCAAAGCAAAGCTTTCGGGGGCTGGAAGTACGAACTAGGCTGTCACTTGAAGCCAAGGGACTCGGTTGTCCTACCCTCGCGGCTATTTTGTTTTCTCAAGCATTCCTAGACCTGAAATCTACCTGCCTGCCAGCCACCTCCCGACGTTTTCTGTCTGTCTACCTGCCACTGATCTACCTTGACTGTCTGTCTGTCTGCCTGTCTACCTTAT